TAGAGGGGAAGAAGAGCACAGCATACAAACACAGTTATCAGAAAAACTGCTGGCACGCTTCTTAATGTGGAGAGTTTTTGCTATGCATCTTCCCTTTCTTGGTACAGGTTCCCATTCAAAAACAGATAACTTTGCAGTGATTCCTGGGTTGCTGTAATTCAGTCATTTTTTTTCTGTGATGACTTTTATCAAACATATAATCCTATATCCCTTCATGTCTGTAATCCATTCCAACAGGCTCCCTAAAAAATTAAGACCAGATTGATAGAAGTGCTAAAGTTTCACTGAACTGATTTGGATTCCTAGTGCTAATATAGCATGAACTATAAAGAGGCAGCGTGGGTTGTTTAAAAAAAAAAAAAAGTAGCCGAAGTGTTTCTTATGCATAAGGAGGGCACTAACATGCATTGGAATGATCTGATGTACTATTTATAAAATGCAAAATCCATGGCACGTGCTGTGCAAACCAATATGAAGAAGATGTAAAGAAAGGCTTGAGGACAGCCTTCACAAGTGTGTACACTGCTAAAAATCAGACTGGCACTTTATGTAAAATGGCTTTGTCCATTTAGATTTCTAGCCAGAATACTTAGTAATTTTCTTCTTCCCTTCTTATAAAAGAAAATGATTTTTGAAATCTTGTCTAAATTTCTTCAAAAATAGTGAGTGTTTTGACTTCTGGGAACAAACATCCAGAGACAGTGAAAATGTGCTAATTTTGTTTAGCAAAAGCTGACTTGGGAAACAGGAGCAAAGTGTGAATCCAGAGCTTGCCAGCCTTTGCTATGGCTCTACACTAGACCCAGCTACTGTCCAGCATGGCTTGAACACTTTCAGGTCTACATCCACTAAGCTGTGCTTTTGCTCTGTTGGCTGCCATCAAGCTGAGAGAGCTCTCTGCTCAGCAGCTGAAAGGTGTAAAAACACACTGCTTAAATTGACAGTGGAAAGCAGAACATTTCTTCTTCCCTTTAGAGTCGGTTCAGAGCCATGCCTCTCAGACCATCAGATGTGAAACATATTACGTGACAATGATCCAAGATGGGGGACACACATTCATTAAGAAGAGCTAAAATGTTGTAGGATCTCTATTTTAACCTCGGTTTTGTGATTATTATTTCTGATGTAAATAATTTTCAACAAGAAAAGAAGAAACATCAGAGTTGTTTGAATTTGGAGGTTACTTTGGGGCCATGATCCCTTGAAATAAGCTATGTTGAAGTTCTGAGGATGAAGGCATGGCAGTAATGAGGAGGTGAGTTTAAAAAAAAAAAAAAAAAAGCTGAACAGGAATGAAAAACTGCAGTATGTCTCCTCTGCTCCCTTCATCCCCAAAAGCCAGGAGAGGAAACAAGTGAAGGTAAGAAACAAGAAAAATAAAATGAGTGGAATGAAGGAAAAGAAGTTCAGCGCTATTGTAGTTCACGTGTTTTATTTTACATGTATTTAAGTGTCACGTGCAAGGGAGAGGTCATCTTACACATTTCCTTATGCTATAATACACCTTTTTTAATCTTACCCTTTAAAATTCTGAGATTTGAAGGTTGGAGTACAGGATGTGGCTTACAAGAGATACCTTTTACAAAGTAACTCATAGAAGGAAAGTTTGATAGCTACTGCCTCAGAACTATATAGATTTAGTTTTTTAATCGCCTACTTATTTTTGTCCTTCCTCCTGAGAACAAAAAATTTCAGCAGGTTAAGTTTTCCATTGACTTTCAGTGAGACTTGTGCACCTACATCACTTAGCAATTTTGATTATCCCACCTTGTATTTTTGCTATTGTCTTGGTCTATGCTGAAAAGTTTTGCTCTGTTACGGGTTTGGGAAGAAAAATCACACTTATGACTGACAAACCTATGCTGACAATTTCTGTTGTAGATACAGTTTTATCAACAGAAGAGAGCTTTTATTGAGGTATCATTATAATTGAGGGAGATGATATTTGTACAATGACAAAAAACCTTCTGCATTATGAACTACATCTGCACTGGAATTGTACCAGCATAGTCTCTAATGTAGATACAACCATGGACAATGTGTCATGTTTCTCCAGGTGTGATTGGCTTCAGTGTAGAGGGATGTGAATCCAGACACAAGAAAACTCTGATCTTTGTAAACCAAGAACAGCATAAATGAAACACCGAAGTAAATAAATTCTCTTACATGACTAAATGACGCTGTAGTGTGAACTATTACAGACCAAAATTTTTTTTAATAAGCTTGACGATTTTAATTTTAAAAGGGAAATGTTTCAGCTGAAAGTTCATGAGGGAAAATGGAGAGGGTTCCAGGAGCTCTGCCCCTGTGATTCTCTGGAGTTTTAGTTCAGCTCCTGACATAATTTTTTCCCAAATGTGCCATGGGCAGTGAAGTATTGAGCTCTATGAGGGGGAAGAGTGCCTCCTTAGAATGCTTTGTATTTGCTGGTGACCAATACACTAGTTACAGCCTCAGTGGAAAATTAACGGAACAGTTAGAGCCCTGTATGGATACAAATTGATATCTGAGGATATAAATTGGTGTCTGTGGAACCTCAGGGCTCTCCTGGGAATCGTGGCAGTGAAAGGAGCAGAACATGGAACCACTGCTCCCAGGAGCCAGTGCCCAGCTCTGGCAGCTGTACTGCCTCCAGTCCTGCCCACTGGGGCGGGCACCAGGATCACCAGCATGCCCATGGACAGGAGACGCAGACAGCTGCGTGGAAGGGCTGGGGGCAGTACAGCCACACTGGAGGAGCTGCTGGCGCGGGGTGCTGGCTCCTGGGAGCGATGGCTTCATGTTCTGTTCCTTTTGCCACTGCAATTTCTGAGAGAACCCTGTGATTTCTTGGGTACCAGTTTACATGCACAGATATAAATTTGTGTCTATAGAGTGATTTAGGAACAAGTTGAGAAGAATGACCTGGCGTGAAGAAAAAGTAGTGTTGACATGAAGGGAGAGATTAAAAGGCTTTTGAATGTTAAGGTTGTACTGTAGTTGGTGTCGTCATGGATGACGAGTATAATAGGCTGGGGGAGGCACTGCTTTCTCTGGCACTGCCACCCACATGCTGCCAAAAACTGGGCCACGGTGTTTTTCCTTCCCTGAGTGCCACCACCTCCTTTATCCCCAAAGGACCCTGTTGCTCACTGTGTCCCTCCCACTTGGGACAAGGGAGTGAGAAGTGATGCATGAACTGCTCCTGGGGCTGGGGCCGGGACCTTCAGGACAGGAGGAGCTGGTGCTTGGGGCGGCTGCCCTTTGTTTTACAGGGGGGAGAGGAAGCTTCAAGGATCTGACATGTGGCAGGCCCTTGAGCAGAAGGGGTGGGGCCGGCAGGCTTGCCCTCTCAAAAGTGTGAGTTCACCCTTTGTCCATGGGCATCACCATAGGCATCATTAATGCTGCTATTGCTTGGTTAATGGAATGAGAGAAATCCATTTTTTCAATAGCAAGAGCTCAGTGCAAAAGTCAGGTATATTGGTAGAAAGTAACATAATAATAAACATGGTCCATATTTTGTTTAGGCCTCGTTGCAGTGGGAGAAAAGACACAAAAGAGATCAGGACATTTTAGTGTAATGAAGGATCTTTCAGGTAAGGCATTTTTTTGCTTCTTTAAATTATGTAATTTAAGATATTTTATCTAACATTGAAATTGATGTAGAAATAAAATATGTTGATATATTTAAGGTAAACATCCAGTTTCTGCATTGATGGAGATCTGTAATAAAAGAAGATGGTCACCACCTGTATTTGTATTAGTGGATGATAGTGGGCCTGATCATCGCAAACATTTTATCTTCAAGGTAAGCTTGAATTCCCTTTTCTGACCTATCTATTACGAAGTTAAAAATGATTCATTTTAGTATTATTTATTTTGCTTATTTGTATCCCAGTAACACCTGAAATGTGTTGGGCACTGTCCAACATGCAGGCATACAAAGTCCTTATTAGAAAGATCTTACTATTTAACCCCACAACCTGCAAACACTTAGGCACGTTTTTAATTATGAAGAGGCTAAGAGCCATTCTTCTCACTTCCTATTTAAATAAGTTAAATCCTACTTGCCAGAGTCCAATGAATAAACTTGAGTTGGAACAGCCTCCTGTGAGTAAAGACAGTAGAATTTAACCCTTTTTTATTTTTTAGTTGGGTTAGTCCAGCTTACTCTCTTTTCACTTGAATCCTGCATTAATATTTTCCATTGAAATACTCTTCTGTTAAAGAACTGACAGAACTAGATTAAAAAAATGTATTGGTGACTTTTCTTCTTCTCTGGAAGAAAAATGTCAAGAATTGTGGAAAAGATCACTGCAATTTTACAGAAGTCTGGGCCATAACATCTCTTATACTTAATTTCAAAGGTGTGCATATAGAAAGAAAAGATATATACTTTTTTTGCCTTAATGGTAGTTTCTTACCAATTTATTTTAACTTATTCAAATCTTGTCAAAACCTGGGCTCCATAAAGTATTAGATTCAGAAATGTAGGTCTGAATTACGGTCTGTGTGGCTTCTAAAATGGTCTTGGAATAACTTACTAGTTTAACAAAACAAGAGTTCCAGCACTTCTCCATGAAGTTTGCTGAACACTGATTGTATCATCCCAAGGAGCAGATTCTAGAGTAGTGAGCCCACCATTGAGAATGCATTGCTACTACTCCCAGAGTTCAATCACAAGAAGCCAAAGCAGACCATACTGCCTGGAAGGGATGTAGGGAGAAAGACTATTAAGTTCCCACCTTCATCTTATTTAATGGATTTTTAGGTTGCTGGCTAATGTATTTAATTTGCTGTGGTGCAGGAACTGTTTTGTACCATGCCTAGTACAACTGCACTCCATTCTTAGTTGTTGTTTAGGTACTACTGTAATAAACATAATTATTAAGACATTATATACTCATTCCCTTTGAGACAAGCTATTCCTTTCTATACCATGAGGGAGCTTCTGCATCCTTTTCAAAGGTAGTGTCAAGTAATGTTGGCCAATAGAATAAAAACACCAGAGCACTGTGGTTATAACAACTTTCAGTGGTGGCACTATAATAGTGCTAAATTGCAACTGAATTCTGCGATTGTAGATGCAGTCACAGCGTAACTAGTACAATGTGTTGGCTGGGCTCTGCAGAGAGAGAGAGGAAGAGTTCAGTGGAAAAGCATTATTTTATATACCATTTGGACTTTTGCATGCGGTGTAATTGTTGCCATGTCAGTCCTAGGATATTGGAGAAGGTGGGTGAGGAAATATCCTATGGACTTGAAGAAGAGCTCTTCACCAACAGAAGTTAGTCCAATAAAAGGTGTTAGTTGGCCCTTTGACATTTTCCTAATATGCTATCTATCAGTGTCTTGTACAATTATATTATAAGCTCTTTGTGGAAGAGACTGTCGTCTTTTGTGTTTGTTGTGAGACCTTGATCCTGAGTAGGGCTTGGTTGTTACTGTAGGTTGAACCTGTAGTCTGGCACACTCTGGTCCGGGAACATCTGTGGTCCGGCATGATTTTATTTAGCTGGATGTCCACGTATCATGGGCACAGCCAAGTTTCCCACCGTCTCGTAAAGTTTGTTTGCAGCCACCAGTTCTGGATCTGTGTTCTGTGTTGTAATTTAATCCTAAATGTCTTCTATGCCCAAGTAAGCAGTGGAAGAGTTAGCAATGCTGCTAGACAATATTGACCTTTTGTGGGAAGGCAAATTCTCTGATTCTGCAAGGGTGCTGGACTAGAGAGGGTCAACCCGACGAATAACAACACACTTGATTTCAGCCAAAAGGCTGATTGAATTATAACCATATCTAAAATGAGTCAGAAAGAGAAATGGAGACAATTTCAAGATGCAAAATGTAGAGAATGGAGAAAAGTTAAGAGTGTTTTTGTGCTCTGAAGAACTCACAAATTAATGTTTTTGAGGAATCTTAATTCTTTCTTTGAGTGATGTCCCAATGGGTGTTCCACTGTTGATATTGGGTTTGTCCTGGCGCCACGGATCAGAGACTTTTACAACAGTGTCCAGTTGGGCTGCACATGTGGTGTTCCTGCCTTTGAAGTTAGCATGCACAACTCGACTCCTCTCAGTTCATGTTTGCTGCCCTTGGCTATGGACGGAGCTCCAACATTTCTCTTCCGCATGCCACTTCTGTGAAGAAAAAGAAAGTTAGATTGATATTGTAGACTTCTCTGTTCCTGTTCATTTTTCTTTTGTTAAACAGTTAATAGTTTAAAAAAAAAGTTATTTTACTTCAGCTTGTATATAGTTTGTCAGAATAACAGCCTACCACCATGCAGCGAACTACAATTTACCACCATTCAGCAAACTACAAATGGGGGGGGGAGGGGAAGTGAACTTTTACTCATGAATAAGAGTCACAGCAGCAAGTGGCGTAGTCTGCCACCTAATAAAATGCTAGGCTCTCCCAGTTTCAAAAAATGTGAGAAATGCTGGGACTTTATACCAGCCTCTGATGGCCACAGTGAATGCATACTCTGTCTGGGAGAGACACACGTTTCACAAAAATGCATTCACTATCGCAGTCTGACAGTGAGCGCTCGCAAGGATAGAAATACACATGCTGTCCTTTGATAAAGCCCTAGTAGACCCTCATCCGCACAATGGGGGCAATAAGGACTTGGACGTGACGTCCCCTCAGGGAACCTCTTAAGAACTATACTGCAAAAAGTGTGTTCAAAAACAAGCCTTCACCAGCCTGCTCCCTCCCATTACAAATTAGTAAGGGAGATGAACCAGGCACCTTGGGCATTGAAAAGTCATGAGCTTCCTCACTGACAGGCTCAAAAACGCACTCTAAAAAGTCTGTGAAACTGGCTCCCCAGCCATCAAAAAGGGCACGTATTAAGGGCCCTGAATCAACAAAGGCACTGCTGGCACTGGCGTTATCCCTGGCACCCTGCGAGCCTCTGGTACGGCTTTTGCCTCCAGCACTGGGAAAAGACAGGGCGAACTCCACCTGCCCTCTCACGGTGCAGGCTAACCCCAGATATCCCAAGGTTCTAACGGCACCAATGCCTCCACCACCAGCAGACTCGGCACCATGACACAAAGCATCAAGCTGCCACTGTTCCCTAACATGCAGCAAAACACACGCTCCATCAATAACTGACAGGAGAGTGAGAACCCCGGGTGAGTCCTCAGCATGGCACTGCTCTTGCTCTCCGTTATGAATGAGAGGCTTTCTGCCCTCGCTATGCTCCCCTATTTTATCACAACTCAGTGCCTACCAGGGGGATACAAGGAGTATGTTCTCCTCACAAGACTATTCCCCAGACAGAGCACATGCATCATACGGTGTACAATAGCAATACCCCCTGTGGCAACCCGACTGGCAGTACTGTCCTCAGTGTGATAGCCACTGGTTCCCCTATCATTACTGGGCACCACAACATAGCTCTACCGCCCCCCCACACCCACACAGCGATCACTATCTTCTACACACTCTGATCCATAACTCATCTTCTGCACCTGAAGCGGTTATCCCAGATGATTCCTCACCTAGTGGTGACCTAAAACAATTTCAAGATGTATTCAAAAGGGTGGCCATCAGTCAGGAGGTTGTGCTATCAGAAGTGCTGGAAAAGCAGCATACGCTTTTAAAGAACTTCTAGCCCTCCCCAAAATTGCGCTGCCTCTGGACGAGGCAATACTTGAAGCAGAGGACTAAGTATGGCAAATACCCTCAACCCAATTCTTTAGTGGTTGATGCTGCAAATCAGAGATCTGAAAATCATCAATACAAAACAAATATACAAGACAAAGACCATAAATACCTGGACTTGTTTGAGAGGAAAATGTACACATCCTCAACCCTTCAACTTCACATAGGTAACTACACAGTCCTACTCGCTAATCACGACTTTGACAACTATGCAAAACTAACAGAGCTAATGCAACATCTCCCAGATAAGAGATCTGTCTTCAGAGCCATAATTAAAGAGGGATATACTATATCTCATACAGCCCTTCAGATGGCCCTCAACGCTGCCAACACCATGGTAAAAGATACAGCAACATCCATAGTGATGAGACACTCATCCTGGATTCAAGTAGCTGGTGTTTCTAAGGATCTCCAGGCCAAAGGTAGAAGACCTACCATTCGATAAGGACAAATTGTTTCACTGCAAAGAATTTTGAAGCTTACATTCTAGCAAAGACTCATGCACCACCTTGTGTACATTGGGGATGTATAATCCCCCCTTCCAAAGGAAGCGCTATACGCCCTACCGAAGACACACACAACTTTCAGCAGGCAGCAGCAGCATCGACCATTTGACCAAAACCACTTCTGACCACGAAACCAACGGGAAAGAGCCCCACGCACATGCTTTTCCATGACTCAGGCCTCTAGACAGCAGGTTTTTTAATTTGGTTGAGGGTCTACCCAATCTCCCCTCCACACCTATGTCAGGGGAGTCCCAACATTTTCCACCACCATCTTTTGTGCCATTTTTACAACGAATGGGCAGCAGTCCCACAGATCAGTGGGTTTTAGAAATCATCAGCTGCAGGTACGCTGTCCCTTTTGTATTGATTCCCTCCAACTTTTCCACCCTCTCCCTTCCTTTTCAGGGACCCAGATCACGAAACACTGCTCCGCCAGGAAGTCCAACACCTTCTCAACATAGGAGCTGTAGAACAGGTCCCCAAACAATATCAAGGGAGAGGTTTTTACTCAAACTACATTCTCACTGAAAAGAGAATAGGGGGTTGGAGGCCCATATTAGATCTCCATCAACTGAACAGATACCTTCACTAGCAGCATTTCAAAATGGTTACACTCGCCATGATTTTTCCCGCACTGTACAGAGGAGACTTGGTTTGCAGTCCTCGACCTCCAAAATGCATACTTCCATATCACGATACATCCCGCACACAGACGTTTCCTGTGCTTTATAGTAGTGTCAGACTATTTCCAATACAGAGTCCTCTGCCCCCAAGTCTTCTCCAAGACCCTGGAAGTTGCAGCAGTGCATCTCCAATGAAAAGGCATCACAGTCTTCCTTTACTTGGACGATTTTTCTCATTGGAGGTCCCTCCCATCAGACCACAAGGGACATAATAAGATTCACAAAGGTCTTCCTTCAGTCTCTAAGGTTCCTTATCACATGTTCATGAAACACTATTCAATTCCACCATGCTCAACAACAGATACCACGGTAGCTACTGTGGTCCACTCTACAGCCTGCAACAACAAGCTGGGCACTGCTACATGGTCACCAACAGTGGAGCACCCATGGAGACATCACTAGAAGAAGAAAGAGAAGTTACTCACTCTGTGCAGTAACGATGTGTTTTTGAGGTGTGTCCCCCCAATTGGTGCTCCACTATCCGCCCTCTTGCCCGCTGCTCTGGGCATTAACAACTGGCCAGGAGGGCATCAAAGAAGAAACAGAAAGCGCACACAGCCTGACTCCTAACTTCAAAGGTGGGAACACCACGTGCCTCTCATGCATGCGCAGTCTGACTGGACTCTGCTGTAAAAGTCTCCGATCCATGATGCCGGGCTGAGCCCGACACCAAGGCTACGTCTCCACTGCAGGCTTCTTGCACAAGTACTGTTTTGCAGAAGAGTTCTTGTGCAAAAGGTCTTCCACAAGAGTGCGTCCACACTTCCATGTGCTTTTGCCCAAGAGTTGTGCTTTTGCAGAATAGCGTCCATGGCAGTGTGGACGCTCTCTTGTGCAAGAAAGCTCTGATGGCCATTTTAGCCATAGGGGTTACTTGTGCAAGAAATTCATGTTGCCTGTCTACACTGCCTTCTTGTAGAGGGCTTATTCCTCTCCCCATGAGGAGAGGAATAACTCTTCCAGAAGAAGCCCTGTTTTCCGATGCTGTACTGTAAATTTATTTGTGCAAGAACGCGCGTGCAGTGTAGACACTCTGCAAGTTTTTCATTCTGCGCAAAAAGCCTGCAGTGTAGACATAGTCCTATAGTGGAGCACCCACAGGGACAAACATCTTGAAGAACCATCGTTACTTCACAGAGTGAGTAACTTCTCTTTTCGTTATTCTCTGTGCAACACTATAATTTGCACTTGTCTTTCAGCATTTAGATGCAGTGGGATTGTTTCTTTATATATATCAGAGATTTGAGTGAGGACATGTATTTTGCACTTGTCTACCTTTAATAGAAAGCTTGCATATTGCTCCTCTGGCTCTTATAAACAAACTTCTCCAGTAGTAATAACAAACACCTGGTTAAATCTGTTTTATTGTATATTTTTTTCTCTTAAACAGGTGATGGTCAACGGGCATGAATACAGGCCTAGCTTTCCTAGCCTTAATAAGAAGCATGCTAAAGCCACAGCAGCAACTGCAGCTCTCCAAGCGATGGGACTTGTACCAAAGGAAAGCATGCCCAATGCCACCATCTTTAGGAGTGCCTCACACCGCTAGATATTGTTTTTTTTTTATATTGACATAATTTCAGATAATTGTACTCTGCACAAGAAAGGTATTTTCCTGTTTCATGTTGTAAATACATTGGTGATTCCCACATTGTAAAAACTGTACAGGCGCCTTCAGAATTTTCTTTTGTACCATCAAAAATGTATTTAAATCATACTTTAGTTTTTGGTATGTTTATATTGTTTACATTAGTGATGTAATTATTTCTTAAATGACTAAATTCAATAGACAGATTTGGGAGGGCATCAGTAATCTAAACCCTTGTTTTAAAACGTATACGATTTCTCTTTGAAACCCATGCAAGTTCTCTTCAATATGGAATGTTAACACTTTCATACTCTTTTGTACTATGATGCAGTTTTCCCTGGTCTTGGTAAAGCTACTGTTGTTAGTACCTTTACCCATAGCCAGTACAAGGCTGTGCAGCTTATCATAAGTCTAGAAAAAGGCTGGTATGTACTGCTGGACAGATACTGGGCCAGTAATGTTACCCCTCCAAGAAAGTAGGTAAATTATGGCACTGTTGTACAGTGCTAACATTACCACTTTTTTCTGTCTTGTTTGGGGTTTAAGTCAGTGGTGTACTGCGACTGGCCACGTGGCTTACATTTTAAGACTAAAAAGAACAGGCAGATGACCTGGTTTAAATGGGAGGGAAGAAAGTCCAGCAATGAAATTGATGAGAATTGCAATGTAAAAGTGTCTCTCCCCTGCATGTTCTGGTAAGGAGATATAAAATTGTCTATTCCAATCTCAAATTAACACTCTGCCTGATGTTGATTGTATGAATTTGTGGTTAATGTGAATTTTAAGCTATAACAAATGACAACTGGATGGAGGTAGAATGATGCTTCAATTGTTGTACCCAACTCCGTCAATAAAGCCGCACAAGTTCATAATCTTAATCATTGGTCATCAGTAAATAGTAAGATCTGTGCCAAAGCACTTAATTTTAGAAAATCAGCATGATGTTAGGAGTATGTACTGGGGGCGGGAGGGGGAGCAGTAGTGACCTGTTTCCATCATAGGAAATATAAAGTTTTCAGTTTATATAAAGTTATCAAGCTAATTTTTGGCCTGAGGTTTTCTGTGCGTATAGTCCATAAGGGTTTTTTCAAGTTTGATCCCAAGTCTCGGCAGTTTTTGATAATGAAAGTGGGTGGGAAAAATAGGCAGTTTGTTTTTCTGACTTTTTAAAAATACCTCTAAATTGTTGATGGGGGGGAGACTTACTAAATTTGCAGTGGGGAAAATAGTTCATGTCATTCCTGGTTCAATTAAATCTTAGGAAAAGGTCACATGCCTAATATTTTGTATACTTAGTTACTTCTGAAAAGTTTTTTCTCTTCTAAGTTTGTATCCTTGTAGCAGCACAGAGCTCCAGAAATTCACAGGGACAAAATAGAACTCTTATGCATCAATCTGTCCTTTGGCCTGAAAGGAAGGAACTTTGTGATAGGAGTCAGAAGATAATGAATTCTGTTCCCATTTGTCCATGGAAGAAATGTTCTCTATCCTTTACATGCTTTTTATTGAATAAAACATCAGTGTTCATCTCTGAGGGTGACTGAAGGTGAAAGTCACCTCAGGCAAAGCTGGAAATGGAACCTTGCTGTGTGGCAGATAAGTTCCATCTGCACTTGTTTGGCAGGAAGAAATATATGCAATTTGTGTGACTGGTTAGGCTTTACGTGAATTGAAGTTCTTCCTAGGTAACCATCAGTACAAGATGCTTTGAAAGAACTGAATAAATACTATAAATGATTGTTAAAATAATCAGCCTGCAAGAGTACCAACTCTACTCCCTATCCATCAGTTCATATTCCAATTGTGAAAGCACTATACCAGTGGTCACTAATCTGTCATTCGTGACCGATCGGTCTATATTGGAGCTTTTGCTAGTCGCTTGTGATCCTCACATACTGTCTGTTCCTGCCTGGCCCAATGCTGCTTCTGGAAGTGGCTGGCTGGCTGAGTGCGGGTATGTGTCCACAGTTCTTGTGGGGTGGGTGAGATGAGGCAGCTCTGTGCTACACTTCCTTGGCTGGTTCCCAGCCAATGGGGGTGGCACATGCAGGCATGGGGAGCAGTTCAGCACAAGATCTCCTTCCCCTCCAAGGGGCCACACACGTTCCTGCACTCAGCCAGGCAACCATTTTCAGGAGTGGTGTGGGGCCAGCCAGGCAGACACAGCTTGCGTGAGCCCCACTGTGTTGCTGACTTGGGAGCCACCTGTGGTGAGTACCTCCTCACTGCAGCTTACGCCCTTACTGCCTGTGCCCAAACTCCCAGGCTATGTCTAGAGTGGCATGATTTTCCAGAAAACAAATCTGAGCTGTCTACGCTGGCCCTTTTGTGCAAAAGGACTTTTGCCTGAATGGGAGCAGCATAGTATTTCTGCAAGAAGCACTGATTTCTTACAGTAGGAAGTCAGTGCTTTTGCGGAAATTCAAGCGGCCAGTGTAGACAGCTGGCAAGTTTTTCCGGAAAAGTGGCTGATTTTCTGGAAAAACTGGCCAGTCTAGACAGCCCCAAATCCCACACCCAACACTACTACAATCTTGAGCCCCCTCCTGCACCCAGAGTGTTGAAGTGCAAGCTCTGAGAGGTAGTTTAGGTACAGGAGTGAGCTCTAGGCTGGGGCAAACACCTTCCTAGAGTTTGCACCTCAACATACTCTCCCAGCCTAGAGCCCCATCCTGCACCCAAACTTGCTCCTAAAACCCAATCAACCTCCTGCATCCTTTACCTCTGGCCCCAGCCAGATGAAAGGGGGGAGGGGAGGAGGAGGCCAGGTAGATCATGAATTGGACTTCATTTCTTGAATTTATCTTGCATGTAAAAAGATTGGCCACTACTGCTCTGTAGAAAAGTTCCTAAAGGATTTTAAAAATCCATTTATAAAATTAAAAACTCCATAGTGCAAAGTGATGTGCTCATAGAAAATGTCTGAATTATCTGTAGCACAGAAAGGGAATATCAGAAACCATAAAGTAATTAAGCAAATGAAGTTGTTGCTGATAGAGAACCCCTGCTTTATTTGCAGCAGACTGTGGAAGGTCTGTAGTGAAAGTAGATTACAAGATAGTGTAGGTAGCCACTAAATGTGGGTTTATGTGCATCTAATCAAGGCTCACAGGCTATTGTTTGTAAAATTGTGTCACACTGTTCCAGGTGGAGTTATAGCTATATAGTACCTGTGAGAAATCATGCCCTATTTCAGGAAGACAAGAGCATCAGTTGGTTCCAAGATGATCTTCACAAGCAGCAGGGCTAGAAGTGCTTCACTGAAAACCTATACTCTAATGTGCAAAAGAACACTCAGATATGAGGGGGTTAGTGATTCAAACTTACATGCCAAAACCCTATCCATTCTGCCTAACAGAAAGTGAACCTTTTCACAAGAGCTGGTTTAGTTTAAATAGTTCTATTCTCCCTCCTTCCCCTCCCACCCAATCAAGAAATAAGACCTCAGGAAAGACTGCAATGATACTAGAATTAAGGTAATCTATTCTTAGTTCTGTTTAAAGGTGATAAAATGAATATAGATGACATCAAGTCCTCTACTAATGGGGAAGAGTTGATGTTGCTGATTTAACTCATTGTACCATCAGATTTTCTCATTTAAGTATCATAGTAAGTTAGTGAGGACACTATATTGTGAAGATTACTGAAATAGTAGACCATAACACAGTAGGCTGTTAATTTTTATAATTACACTTATTAATCTGTAGTTTCATAGTGAAAAGTAAAATCCAAGAGCTATTGCAACCTCTAATTGTCTTTGAATTTACAGGGGGGAGCCTGTTCTGCATATTGATCTTAAGAGCTCATGATTTATTAGTCCAGAAAGATTCATAGAAAAAGCATTCTACAGCTCTTCAAGGCGTTGTATCAGTTTCTAAGTTACTTTCAGCTAAAAAGTTAGGGAATTTGTGTTGTCTATACAGCTACAGCAAGGGTGGGCAAGAGGGCCTCTACAGCCTGGATCCAGCCCTTGGAGGACCTGCTGCTGCCCTGCTCCCGGGCCATTTGGGGGGGGGGAGAGGGGGGTACTCCTATGAAGTTTCCTCTGTCCTGCCAGGAGCATGGAGCTCCTAGAAGGGCAGGAGACTTTGCATGCTCCCCTGCCCCCAAGCCCTGATTGGCCTGGGGACAGAAGAGGGAGCAGGCAAAGTCTCCTTCCACTGCCAGGGGCATGGGCACTTAGAGGGAACAGTCCTCCCTCACCCCCAGACTAATCATGGTTTGTGATTGGGGAAGCATGGAAATATCCTGTCTCTACCCCTTCTGGTGGTGCCCACGGCCACTGCAAAAATTGCCTACCCCTGATCTAGAGCAATTATGTTCAGAGCTCAGTGGTTCAAAAACCAAATTATGCAGAAGAATCACAATATTGTGAATTAGTTGTTTCATTTACTATAGTACTAACTGTTGACATTTAAACAGTACAATGGGGAAATAAATTCAGTTACATTTGGTTGATATAGTAAAAACACCCTGAAGTATTAAAAATTAAATCAGTGTTTTTATTTCATAAGCTGCAAGAGGCAGGTTAAAGTCATTGTTGGTTTGTCAGCTTCAGTTTGAGCATCACAGTGTACTTTTCATTGCAGAATAGTTTCAAATAATACTCTTAAAGAGACAGGTTACCTGTGACATTAACAGCTAGTTTGCACTCTGCCAAAGCTGAACTACATAATGAAACATTGATATTTAGCTTCTGTTACAGGCAGTATAATAAATAGCATGTCAAAATAACATAGCTATCCAGTTTCAGAATTACTGAATGTAAGTTTATTCAGCTAATCTTAATAGCATTGAAGTCTTTTTTAGATGACAGTTCTTCCTTTAAACTTCGGTAGTTCTAGTTCCAGCTAATAAACGTTAATAGTGTAAAGAGAGTTACCACTGCTAGGTGGAGCAATACCACAACTTGTTAGATTAATTTATGCCTTTAATGAAAGGTGACCTCCAGGGTTGAATAGCATAGGAGTCATTCCAACTTCTATAGAAACTAGATATGGTTCCTTTAACAGTTCTGTACCTTAGAAATGACATATAATAATCCTTAAAAGGGTCCTCATCCCAGAGAGGAGAAAACACAATTACCTTTTTTATAAAAAAATTTATTTAAAAACATTGACAACAAATGCAGAGGTTGCAGGTTCAGAGACAGTGTTCTTGCTGGATTATCCAAAATAACTTTTTCCACTGGAAGTTACCTTGTGTGTGGTGATATGGGCAACAGAAGTTCTTTCCCAAGTAGACAATTCTTCCCTCCTGGTACATTAGCACAATAGCACCTGAAGAGTGTTGACTAAACATTACTAGTCCTTATTTCATGAACTAAAATGGCATAGTTAAGATTTCCAGCTGTAAGCATAGTCTCTCATTTCTAGGAGTCGTATGGAAGACTTTCCTAGTGTTGGAAGTTGAGTCAACTGATCCAAGGTTTTTAGATGTAACCCACATTTAGTAAGGTCCTTGCACATAGTTTCCTATGGAAATTCAGTTTCACAAAAAGATATGTAAGATGCATTGGTTTCAAACTACTATAATCATTTTATACCCTTTTTTGTGCCAAAGTACTGTAGCTACTAAAGAGCTGCCTAGTCTACTGGTGGCATAGCAGGCGATAGAGACTGGGTTTAAGTCATCCGTTTAATGAACAGGTTTTCCCGCTGTTATGACTAGAAATCTCAGCCTCCTTGCTACCACTGATAAAACCTTGTAAACTGGTTAAACTAAAGTGGCCACAACTGGGTGTTTCCCATAATCCCAAGTGAAGAGCAGTTTTTTCACATGCACTAGTCTGCTGTTTCTAGTGATAAAAGGGTATTAATCCTAACACAGAAGACAGCCTTTCCATTGACTTACCTTATTTAAAGTTCTCTCTGTGGTAGTGTTAAACACTGCTGTTGGTTCATGGGTATATAACACAGCAGAAAAAGCTCCCCTTTGTGCAGATTTGAGCAGCATTGTCAAAGTATGCAGACAATGAGGCATGACAGGACCTGTAATCTCCAAGCTAAATATATCATTACAGCGCAAGTGAACTGGTGTTTTCACGTTGATACTTCGAGCCTGAAGACAGTAAGTTACACATTTAGTGTCTAATACATCAAGATTAATCAAATGTCTTTTCATCTATTGCAAAAGCATCTTCAATTTAAGGTGTTCAATGCTTCAATGTTCTTACAAGACATGGGTATGGCATGATTTTTATTATACTAAACCCTAATACACAAGAGCACTACACAATATAGTAGGTAGAGTGTGCAACTGCTTTTGGGGGGGGGGGGGGGGGGGAAGGAGGGTGTAGTTTGAAAGAACAAACATCCCATAACGGAATTTAGGTATGACACCATAGTTAATAGCACTACTCTTGAGGCTCCTCTGCCTCTTTGTAGGTAGAGTTGGTAGAGGCACTAGTTCAGAGCACACCAAGAGTGGGCAGTTCCATCAGCCAGATTCTTAACACAACAGGATTACTAAAAATACATAAGGGCAACCTTAGTGACGTGGAAAAGAAAAAAAAAGTTTTAACCCTCTGTCTTGAAAGTGAGAGACACATTTAAGCCTCCAAATCATTTAAATCTGTACTACCAACCGTAAAAATTCAATAGAGAGGTAATTAATGTTAAATTCAACATCAAATTATAAACTACACAAATGGCACCAAGAGGAATAACCATATAAGGATGTGCGAAAGAATAAAATGTCCCTTTCCTTTCTGAAGACAGCATCAGAAAGTTTGCTACTACCACAATCTGAGACCATTTGTATAAAGTCATTCTGCTTTTTACCTTGAGTGTTTGCATAGTTGCACCTCGAAAAGCAACGGGGGAGAGAAGTGTTGGTGGCAGCCCTGCCTGGGGGCCTGCAGCAGCCACTAAACTCTTACAGTTTATCAGGAAGTTCAACAACATGAATGTGTTTGTTCCTTTTACTAATGCAACAGATTCTGGCTTGTGATCCATTTGCACTTCATTTTTTTCTTTACGGCTATGTTGAGATGGGTCAAAGGAAATATATGATAAGTTTAAAGGCATCAAATAGAGCAAGACCAAGAATTTTAGTCAAGTAAAAATTTACTGAAACAAAGCTCTCTGCTAATTTTCAGTTGATCTGGAAAGGTAAAGAACTAAAAAATAGCTCCGGCCCAATGATTTCAAAATAAAGATGAGGCAAGGAATATTCTCCAGATTGTTTGTTTTATAATTAAACATATCATTAAAAAAACCCACAATGAACCAAACAGTTTCTAGCCATTCAGGTAGAAGCTGTACTAGTAGTTCTCTTGTGTTTTATTTTGGTATTAGAAAAATTCAGTTTCTGGGGGGTTTTTTAAACAAAAAAAGCAAAGGTGCTGGTACTAGGGTTGCCAGATGTCGAGTGGGCTTCCATCCAGCGCGAATGCTCCCAGGGCTGGCTGGAGCCATACCAGTGTGTACCGTCACAAAAAAAGCACTGGAAAAATTGCAGTGTGAAATAAAGTATTGTTCCTAGGTTTAGTTGTGTACTAAGACAAAAGTTTGTATAGATAAATATCTTTAGCTAAACTATCACTGAACCATTCTGGGAGGTGACAAACAGCTTACACTCTCTCCAGGTGAAGCGATATCTCCAGACTGGGCATATACAGATCACTGAAAAGGCAGTTTAACATAGCATTCTAGCCAATATTTACTATGTATGGTTTTACAAGGGAAGTCTGCTGATTATTTCTTATCTTGGCAGAAACAGCTGGACTTTATTCTTATATCAAAATACAAAAACTCATCAAATACAGAGAGAAATGTCATAAAAGTTTGGACATGGTTGTGTAGAAATACTAGTTGACAGAGAGAAAACCTAGCACTCATATGATTTCCTTACACCATTTCATGACAGGGTGGTATATTTTTCTTACGCCACATGGAATCTACACTTCCTAGTCTTAGATGAAATTTATAACTAAATAAGCTTCAGACAGAAGCCTGTTATTCCATAAAAAATATTCTTTAACTACACAGATAAGAGAATGTAGTTATTACTCTAAGCCTAAACAGAAGGCAGGTCAGTAACAGGTGTATTTTCACTCATTACATGTTACAATGTGATAGAATCCATTAATATTTGGTACAATAAAAAAGTGCAATCGCTTAGTGATCCTGTAACAGTATTTTTTTTTTTTTTAAGACAAAACTGCAGTGTTAAGTATAGAAGCAAATGCCACATTTATGACCACTTACTATAAAAGAAGCGTATCACTAACTGAAAATTCTACAGAATTACTATTATTGCATAAGCGACGAGGAGTCCTGTGGCACCTTAAGTCCTGTGGCACCTTATGTCCTGCGGCTTCTGGAAATTTCCACTACATGCATCTGACGAAGTGGGTCTTTGCCCACGAAAGCTTATGCTCCTACACTTCAGTTAGTCTATAAGGTGCCACAGGACTCCTCGTCGCTTTTGCAGATTCAGACTAACACGGCTACCTCTCTGATTATTGCATAGTGATTAATGAACTACAATTTAAAAACCACAGATCTTTACCACAGAGAAGCCAAATGCTCAATGCCTGTTTGAGATTAATATATTCTGGTACTCAAAGGATACAGTTTGATAGAAATTGCATCTGGCTTTTTAATCTTGTCTTGGACTCCCATCTCCTCAAGCCAAGAAAAACTTTCATCATCACTCACTCCTTGTTCCCTAGGAAAAACACTCCACATTAATATCTATAGAATTGTCCAGGCAGCGGCAAGTGCATTTAAATTGTAGATAGGCAGTTTTGTGACATACTCTCCATCTTCACTGTTTTTGCTTGTTTCAGAACTGTTATCTTCTGTGTCCACGTTTGTTTTACAGTTTTTCTGCTTCTTGCTCCTAGTTTCTTCTACAAAAGGTAAATAAAATTCTATGCCTGAGTAGGGAAGGTAAAGCAAATGAATGGTTTATATATATATCAAGGTTAGAAAGCGAGTTTTATACTTTTTTCAAATGTTCATGGAAGGAACTCCATCTTACCTTCATTTCTCATGGCTTCCCGTAAACCCCGGGTTGTGGGCGAAATAACAGCTGTGATAACATCACTTCCTGCAAGGCCTGCTGCACGGAACAGCACAGTAAATTGGTAGGTGCAAACATAGAAATAGGGACATAGCCTGGCTTTGAGAAGATTATATAGGGAGGTAAAACTGACAGACCTGCAAGTTAGACAAAAAAGAAGTTATAACATTTTAGATAATCGTTCTGTAAGAGACATTTTTATATTACTGTGACCTGCTAAAACAACCACCTACACCTCAAATAGGTTTTAACAAAATACTCCATAAAATCTCTCAGTTGTAGGGTACTGTAGATAACATTCACCTAATATGATTAGATTTGAAAGATGAGGTCTTGGAATATGAAGGGCCAGGTTTTCAGAAGCACTCATCATCCTCTGTGCTGAGCCTCTTTGAATAATGTTTGGCCCTGATTGTGGGTGCTGAGCTCTGAGAAGTTCTCAGTGTGTTCCCTTAAAAAACAACTTCCTAGTAGTTTTGCAAAATTCTTTCAGATCAACAACTTGGCTTGGAGGGGCGTTTAACACAAGAAGTTAGCGGTCAAGTCTTAAGACTGGCTACTGAGAATATTCAGCTCCCTTTACTATGATAGATTTTAGAAGAGATTTGCATGTCTGCTGTAAGTAGTCATAAGAAAGAGGTTACTTACTACAAATAGGCTTTCAGATTTTACAAAACACCAACCTTACAAATGATGAGTTTTATGAGCCACATTTTTCCAGTTGGGAGATGAGAGTGCAGGGAGACAAACATAATCACTAATGAAATTGGGTCCCTGACAAACAAGTCATCACATCTCAATGCATTAGAAGTTGGTTTTCAATGGTTTTAGGTCCAAGAAAGTGATGCATCATATTGCAACTACACACTATAGCTATGGTAAATTTTGAAATGTTCACTTTTAAGACCTCAATATTCACGAATTTGGAAATACTGAATCTACTGTAGTATTGGACCAAATTCTGTTGGAGAGACACACATTACACCTTGACTGGTCCCTTGAAATGTGTGTTAACTATGGATGCTAAACTATTTATTCGTCCTTGTATTTAGATGTGGCAGTAAGTTTCTCAGACCTGCAGTAGAGCTCTGAAAGCTTGTCTCTTACCAACAGCAGTTGATCCAATAAAATATATTACCTTCCAATCTTGTCTCTTCGATATTCATTGAAAAAAACAATTAGAAATCTCCACAAGGGCCACCCCCCTAGACTATTTGAGGGAATGCAATCCCCCATCTACCTCAGTTTCTTCCTTTCAAACAGAAAGACTTGATGTTAATTAGAATTCCAAGGTAATGTGGAAGGGGGGGTGGGAGGTGTATGTTGTAAATAGTGAGGAAACTCAGAAGAGTTATTGGTAAGTAGCCTTTCTACTTAGAAATTTCCACTGTGGAAGATTGACATCCTGATGGGGCACTGCTTGCTAAAGGATGAGATTTTAACTAATAAGGCCTTTAGCTATGCTCTCCCAAATTAGGCATTGAAGTACAAATGCTAAATCCAAGGAGCAGTGTCTGGTGACAATGGATCAAACTTCATATCACTCCCATGCACATCTCCACTGTGGGAACCTTCCTAATGCTTGCTACTGACACAGTAGTGGCTCTCACCTGTGAGAGTCTGTTTGGCAATGAGCTCTCTTTGGTATCTTTCCATGTATACTAGAAAATCTAACATTTTTATAACGACCACCGTCTTTTCCTGATAAGAAAAGAGCATCCTCTTCACATCAAGAGTATGAAATAAGTTTCCCTGGGTAGGAATGAGGTGACACACTTGTCTTTTTGGACTACAATGTAAAGGTTTGGTAGTCAAAGCACTAAGCTCACTAACCCTCCTAGAAATTGTATCTGCTACTAGGAAGGCCAATTTTATCTACAGGTGTGTATGTGTCTTAGACAAGATTTAGCTCCTACAATGTGGTAGTGGGGAAATACATTCACCATGCCCTTGGAGAAACTGGAGGTTATAGGGAGATAGATAGAAGATTGGTCAGTGAAGAGTGTGTATTGCTGTCACAAGGCCCATTAGCCTTGAGACTTAAAAGTATAGAAGATAGTCTATGACTGCAGGGACACCATCTTTAGGTGGAATGAGTCCTTTACTAGTGGCCCATAAGGAATGTTGGGTAGGAGGATCTCTTCTGAGCTGAGAAAGAGAACTATGCTAATCACAGAGAGTGGTCTTGATCTTCTCTAGAGCCTCATCAGTTGTCAACCCTAGAAGACTTTGCCCTTAAAAGGGAGGTTTTCAATTTTATCCTGGGATTCAGGTGTGAGGCCAAAGGATTTCATACACTATCCTCAGACAGTTAAACCTGTATGCAATCCTCAGTGATGGAAGTCCTGCTTGCTTGCTTTTGTTCTTTGGAGGAGTCCAGGATGGGGCTTATAGCATCTCAGAGGTCATTACTATGGCAGATCATTATAATCTGGTGGTTTGCTACTCAGAGACCTAGTCACACAGGTGCAATAGGGTGTCCAGTGTTCTTCTCTTATGGGAGAGACAGAGCAGGATGCCTTGTCCCTAACTCTCTTCTGTGCTGCAGTTTCCAGAACAGAGTTTATCAGAGGTGGCTGTAGTAAGAACAGATATCTTTCATCTGGTACAGGACTCAACCAGCAATTCTCATGTACAGGAAGGGATCTAAAATTGGAGAACACCGAAGTACCCTTGGATGGGTTAGAACATTTGAGTTAATATGGAAGGCCGTCTTCTGCATCTGTAATACACTGAACAGATTTCTTTGATAGTGCAACATATTCAGCAAATACACTCCAACCGTACTTTTCACCACTTTTTGAAAACAGTTTGTCAAAGAGTGGAAATGGACAACACGCAAATCTGTTATTCTTCCAAAGGAGACTTACGCCACTCCTCTGAAGGAGTCTCTCATCCCATTCCTCATACAGACAGATGCTGCTGTAGTTCTGGTGTCAGTTAGGAAGGCTGAATCAGTGCTAAATGAGTAAAAGGCACTTGTGAGGGTGATAGGAATATCAGTGAAATGGATTGTGGTCCTGGATCTCATTTCACAAACCTGCAGCAGAGTTTTTAATGGAGTTTTACACATATGGTCACAAGACAAACAGTGCCTAACAGAAGATCCTTCTGTAAGAGCTGGATCTGAGGTGAGGGAATGTGAGTGGGTTTTTTTGGTCAAGTTGGGTGACCCTCTATGTTTATCTCTAACAAGGTCAAAGATTCCTTAGTGTAGTCCTACGTAAAGGCCTGAAGATGATCTGTACAAGCACTGATCACGAAGTGGAAAAGCACACAATGGCCTGGCTAGTGACCTTGATAAAGGATTCCTTTTGTGGACACAGAGATTGAAGGTGTTCTTGGGATCCAAACCAGAGAAGAGTCCATATTAATGGGTGCAGAGTTGTGGAGAGTAGATGACAGTAAAGCAGTCCAGGGTCCTCGTGAGTTGTAAAGTATGAATAAGAGGGACATTCCTTTCATACTTGTTGAGTGATAAGCTTCCTCTTCTATTTCCTTTTCCCGGCAGGCACCTGCATATAGATAGGTATCTGCAGTGGAGGAGAGATCTGGAGTTAATGTCAATGAGTGTTGTAAGCAAGACACAAGAGGTAATTCTTCTGTTCTACTCTGTGCTGATTAGGCCTCATCTGGAGTAGTATCCAGTTCTGGGCACCACATTTCAATAAAGATGTGGAGAAATTGGAGAACGTCCAGAGAAGAGCAACAAGAATGATTAAGGTCTAGAAAACACGAGCTATGAGGGAAGGCTAAAAGAATTGGGTTTGTTTAATTTAGAAAAGAGAAGACTTGAGAGGGGAATGACAGCAGTTTTCAAGTACCTACAGGTTGTTAAAAGGAGGAGGGAGAAAAATTGTTCTCCTTGGCCTCTGATGATAGGATAAGAAGCAATGGGCTTAAACTGCAGCAGAGGAGGTTTAGGTTGTTGTGACCTGGCAGTAGCAGTCCCCCACTGCCAGGGTCATCGCCCTGCCTGGACGGGCTCGCCCATCCGGGTGAGATAGTGCCCACAACCCTTTTGTCAGATGTCACTCTAGGGTGTGGTCAATCCCTTGGGTTTATTCCTGTGCAATTCGAGTTTATAACTGGTCGCCTCACCGGCACCCCTGGCCAAGGGGTAGTGGGGCTCAGTCCCATCCCCACTCCGAGCACCGACCCAGGGCCCTAAGAACCGGAGGAATCCCTTTTCCACGGTTCGGTTGGTGGGGGTAACTACCTGCAACGCACCAACCCACGGGCAGTCCTCTGCCGTGGCCTGGGTCACTTCCTACCTCCCTCAGTCGGTCACCTTCTCCATACTCAGAACCTCTCCTTTGTCCTGGAGAGCTTCTTTCTCGCTCTCCCTCTTCCTGCCGGTGATGCCCTTTTGACACATCCCGCCGGCTCAGCATCTGACGGGGGAGGGGCAGAGCAGCCTCACGTCCTGCCCCAGGCCGTTGTTGCGCATGCACATCCAAGGCGAGCGGGTGCAGACGGATCGTTCCCTGCCTTCCCTACGTCGGCGGGGCCCTCCCAGCGCGACCCGCTGGCACGGTGTCCTGTGTGGAGGTGGGCGGGGCATCCGGCGCTCCGCTCTGGATGGCCTTGGCGCAGGCGCGGCAGAGCTGGGGACGCAGCCAGAGAGCAGTCTCACCCCATAAGCCTGGGTCACTTCCTACCTCCCTCAGTCGGTCACCTTCTCCATACTCAGAACCTCTCCTTTGTCCTGGAGAGCTTCTTTCTCGCTCTCCCTCTTCCTGCCGGTGATGCCCTTTTGACACATCCCGCCGGCTCAGCATCTGACGGGGGAGGGGCAGAGCAGCCTCACGTCCTGCCCCAGGCCGTTGTTGCGCATGCACATCCAAGGCGAGCGGGTGCAGACGGATCGTTCCCTGCCTTCCCTACGTCGGCGGGGCCCTCCCAGCGCGACCCGCTGGCACGGTGTCCTGTGTGGAGGTGGGCGGGGCATCCGGCGCTCCGCTCTGGATGGCCTTGGCGCAGGCGCGGCAGAGCTGGGGACGCAGCCAGAGAGCAGTCTCACCCCATAAGGCTGGGGATGGCGCAGCTCCGTAGCGGGGCGTCGGAGCATCCCCGTTACAGTTGGTCATTAATCACCCTGACAGGAAGTTTTTCCTAAACACTGGAATAAATTGCCTAGGGAGTTTGTGGAATCTCCGTCATTGGAGATATTTAAGAGCAGGTTAGAAGGACATCTATCAGGGATGATATGGACATTTCTTAGTCCTACTATGAGGGCACGGGACTGGACTTGATGATCTCTTGTCCTGCTCTAGTATTCTGTGGTTCTATGATACCAGTGCTATATGAGTAGGTTGTCCGGTGGTCAGTTCTTATGTCATCACCATGGCGATTGATGCTTTCGGAGGCAGTGCTAGTTTGGTCTTTGGTGCTGTTTTAGATTTTCCAGCAGCGCTGAATAAAGGATTTACTTCTAGAATGAGGCAGAAGAGATTCCATCTTGGACCCATGATAGAAGGCAGCAGAGGCTGGATTGGCAAAGTGAGTTGAGTCCTGTGTCAGAGAACCTCAGCATGGAGACTGTTCTAGGTATCTCCAACAGAGCCAAAGTATCAGGATGTAGACATGAGATGCAAGTGTTTCCCCATTCTAGTGTGGGGAGTGAAAGTGAGGGAAACTGCATGTGAAAGGGTGTGAAACTGCACACTGGGTTATCCAGTAAATCTTTGTTCAGTCATAGAAGGCATCAAACATGAGTGGCAGTCTCCAGTAGGATTTGAAGGTGGGAGTTACAACTCTTGAAATCCTTATGGGGCACTTGTCCTGACACGACCCTAAAAAGGGGCCAAAGGCTCTTGAGATAAGGGCAAGCTATTTATACAGAACCAGGGGAGGGGCTCAATCTTTTTCCTTTCTGAAGCTCCCACACCAGGCTATAAAAAAATCCATAGCCCAGCTTTGCCACATCTGGTTTTCTGCATATAAAAGTTAGATTTGGCGTTAGAGGGTAGCAAGAAGGGAAGCTGGCTAGGGCCCCTATGCCACAGGATCCCATGCAAAGTTAGGTTCGGCTTCAGTCTCAGATGAAGGGGCTCAGAGCCCTGGACTTCGTCCCCACATGGTGAGGCTTCAGCAAGTCAAAAACTGACCCTGACTGGCAGAACCCTAGATCTTATTTGGTAGATCTTATTTTCTTGTAAGTAAGACTAAGAGAAAATCTAGCCTGAGGACAAAAACAAGATCTGCGTGCTTTCTGTGTTGGTGGTAAAGAAATTTGGGGTTGCAAGCACAACCCCTTATACAGAGTAAAGGTGATGTTTCCTGTGTAATCCTTAATGGACCCTGCTTTCAGGCAGTTCTGTAGCTCAACAGAAGGGATACCACATACCCCACAATGAGGAATACACTGAGACTCTTAATAAATATTCTTGGTAAAATGGTGTTTTCCACAGGAATGAAGACAAAAATTACGTAATTAAAATAATCCAAGTATTTGAGTTTACCAAAACCAAACATTCTTCAGTTCAACTTACCACTCACTCATTAGAACTTGTTGCAGTGCTTCATCATGTGACCAAAAACTAGTCTTTCCAGCTATTTTTCTATCTGCTCCAATACGAGGGAATAACTGGAGCCATGGCAATGAAGGGTGAAGCCAATAAATAAGACTTTGCTGGAATGCACAGCGAAGTTCTGTGGACAGCTTTGGATCCTAGATGCCAAACACAGTGTTTAATAAGACAGGTAATTCCTTACTGTTCAGAGAGCTTGACAGCCTCCCTTTCTGGCAGTTCAAACATTTTAAATATAAAACTATGGCACTGCCAACAACAGAGATTAACCCTAATTCTTCAAGGGTAAGTCTAGACTGCAGGGTTTTTCCTGGGATACCTAAAACCTCCACCGCATCCAGGGAACATGTTTGCTCTTCCGCTTTTTCTTGGCGGAAGAACAAATGCGCTCTTTCGGAAGCCCTGTCTTTCTCATTCTACAAGGAAGAAGGGATCTTCCGAAAGAGGGGGATTTTCCGAAATTTGGCACAGTGTAGATGGGTCAAATTTCGGAAAAGCCTCTTCTGAACAAAAACATTGGAAAAAGGTGTAGTCTAGACCTAGCCCAAGTGGTAGGCAGGAATTAAGGAACTGCACCAGTTTGTACTGCTGTACGCCAATCTGAAGGTCTTAACCTTAACTTATTTAACAACCTCGCCATTGTTGCAAATCCTGCCTTTTTCTGCACTAGGTGGTCAGCAATGGTGGCAGTTGTACCAGTTGCTCAATAAAGGGCTATTCCCAGTGGACACAAGAACTTTAAAAACAAAAACAACCCTTCATTATCAGCATTTCTATTATATTTAACATGTTTAAAGTAGAATGATCACCTGTATGCTTTGTGGGAAATTGATTGATGTTGCTCTACAGTGCTGGGAAAATCCCTGCGCCTCTTCTTGTGCCTTTAAATGCTCTGCCCAAGTAAAAGGTTGGGAAGATGTGAATAGAAGTCGAGTTTTAATACTCCAGTCTGCAGGAAATTCTGTGCTTGGTGAGGAGGTAACATCAGGTATGGAAACAGGTAAATGAAGTTCCTTACAAAATAGAAATAATGTAAAGTCAAAATACAACAAATATATTTTTCATCTAAAAACTGCATCAGCCAGTGTTTTTTTTGAAAGCACACAGACACTTATAGTTCAAGGCATAAGTCAACCACTGACAAGGGGTAGGGGAATTTTCTTTCTCTGGGAAAAAGATGTTTCATGGTGGGCCATGCTCGGGTTTCTTGCACTTTTATGTAATGCACATGTTGCTAGCAAGCATATAGGATACAGGAATTGATGAACTACCAATAAGAATATAGGCATTTTCTTATCTGTTATCTTAGCTCTGGGATACAGTAGCCAATGCAAAGAAAGCATGGAAGTCCTTGCAAAAAAAACCCTTTTGCCTTTATTGCGCTGGACAGAAGCATTACTTACATAACTATTGCTACGATAGGAAATATAACAGTGCCTGGAACTTAGTCATTGTAAAGAAACACAAATGTGAAATCTAAGCTGTTTTGTACAGTTTGCAAATACCTTAAACTATTAACATTTATGACAATTTTAGGGGGAAAAAAGTACTTTGTATTTCAGTTTATATTCAAATGCACTAGCCAAAAATCACAGTTTAGAGTCACAATCACTTTCCTGCTCTTATATATAGAATTACACAATGTTATAGTATTTGGAAGTCTCAGAGTGTTAGTCTGTAAGGCTGTGTCTACATTGGCATGATTTTGCGCAAAAGCAAGAGCTTTTGCGCAAAAACATGCTGCCTGTCTACACCGGCGGGGAGTTCTTGTGCAAGAACACTGACGTTCGAATGTGTGAAATCAGTGCTTCTTGCGCAAGAACTATGATGCTCCCGCTCAGGAATAAGCCCTCTTGCGCAACATGAATTTCTTGCGCAAGAAAGCGTCTACACTGGCACGGATGCTTTTGCGCAAAAGCACATCTCTTGCGCAAAAGCACACGCCAGTGTAGACGCTCTCTTATGCAAATACTTTAACACAAAAACTCTTGCATTAAAAGTATTTGTGCAAATTCTTGCCAATATAGACGTAGCCTAAGGGTATGTCTACACTTGTTCCCTAGTCCGAACCAGGGATGCAAATGTAGCATACCGAAGCTGCTAATGAAGCGCGGGATTTAAATATCCTGTGCTTGATTAGCATATTCACGTCCAGTCGCTATTTTAAAAATCCACTAGTCCGAATTAACTCGCCGCGTGTAGACGCGGTATTCTGAAAGAAACCCCTTCCCTCGGATTAACTGTTACTCCTGGAGTAATTTGAAATAAGATATGCAAATTGTGTATCTTATTTCAATGCTATTTCGAAATAGCTTATTTTGCTGTCTACACTGCAAAATTTTGAAATAAAGTGCTATTCTGAAATGTTCCTTACTTCACATGGAATGAGGTTTGCTGTGAAGACACGAGATAGCTATTTTGGGATACTCCGGTATCTAGAAATAGCGTTGCAATGTAGACGTACCCTGTGAGGCTAACAAAAATACATATAGTATCATGGGCTTTGGTCGGTAAGACCCACTTCATCAGTTGTGTTGGACACTGGAGGAAGTTTTCATCCAAAGAAAAACAAGTTGCTTTCACTGAGTTTCTAAGAGCCTTGTCCATGTATTTCTGTTGCTTTTTAAAAATATATTATGAAGATCCGAGTTGAAGATACGAATTCTATGCCAGATCAGACCAGTGGTCCATCTAAGCTAGACACCATTGTTAGTGACTAGAAAGTACCAAATGCTTCACAGGAGGTGTGAGAAATCCTTTAGGGCACTGGTTCTCAAACTGGGGTCTGCAGACCTCTGAGAGTCTGTGAGGGTATCCTAGGGAGTCTGCGGATTAATCCCCCCCTCCCAGCATCATCTGCACACTTCAGAGCAGCTGTTCAGCAGTGTGTAGAAGGTGCTTGGAGGGAAGGGGAAGAGCAGGAAAGGGTCACACTCGGGGAGGGGGTGGTAAGGGGCAGGGAAGAGGACAGATTGGGTGGTGGGGCCTTATGGGAAGGGGTATAGGGGTGTGTGGCCTGATGCAGGGGTTGAGCATCACCAGGGGAATATTAGAAGCTGACTTGGGGTCAATAAACATTTTTAAATCAAACTGGGGGTCCCTGAGTTGCTAAAGTTTGAGAACTGCTGCTTTAGGCAGTAAAGGGATAACTGTCCTCTTAGTGAAAGTTTTTTCCTAACCCTGGATACAAGGTTGGTGAGGGTATATTTTATTGGACCAACTTATACTGGTGAGACACAAACTTTCAAGTTTACGCAAAACTCTTCTTAATCCAAGAGAGCTCGGTGTAAGCATCTCTTACAAACAGAAGTTAGCCCAATAAAGGGTATTACCTTGCCCACTTTGTCTAATATCCTGGTACCAACATAGCTACAACACTCTACACAACTTGAGATCTAGTCAGCTTCAAAGAGTTAGTTTCAGAAATTACTGCATAAGTTCGCTATTTTTTTTAGGGCTTTCTCTTTTGTGACAGTACTGAAAGACTTATAGGGACATCAGTGGAAATAAATAGCTTTATAGTCTGCTTGTATATTCATTATAGTTTTTGTGAGAGGCACAAAAACAAATTGAAAAAATGTTCTAATCTCAGTTACAGAAATGTTGTGTGTGTCAAGTAACAGTAGTAAAGACTTCACACAAAATACGATTTTTAAGTTGGTGTCAACTTAACACTGAACTTCAAGGCATTTAAGATGTTTTACAATTGTAACATTCTAGTAAAATCTAAGTGACACTGAACAGCAAGCTTAAAAGAGACAAAAGTTAAACTATTTGTGCACGATGAAATGTTAAACACCCCAAAAAGCTATATTTATGGATTCTTACATTGGTTAATGGAGTACCATCTGCTATTTCAGGACACACTTCTTTCCAGGTGGATTTATTTTCTTGAAGAGGATCTAAAAACTAAAGGAAAGAAAAGAAGAAAGAAAGTTATTAACTTAATCTAAAGTACAGCACAAACTGAGAATTATATTAACAACTTAATTTTAAGGTTGATCTTTAAGTGTAATTTTAAGAAGGATTTTAAACTGACCATCATCAATGTGACGTATTAGAACACTTCACCCTTTTGGTGGCATCAATTAAAAGTCATTTTGCAGATGTACCTACATTTGTAAATTTAGTGATTTTCTTGGACTGAATTCCAAATGCATTGAAAAGCTTAGGCTCTCAAGAGTCCCTTTCTTCAGCAAAATAAAAAACGCACTACTGAATACTATCTTCCGTTGTGTTAGTATAGTACGCAGCATACTAAATGAGAGCAATCAGCAAATTTTCACGCTGGACCTTAAATTGTTTTATAACAGAGAACTGCATTCCCTACCACCTCCACACCTTAATAAATAAAGCAGTGGAACCTGCTTCTCCCTAAGAAAAAGCTTTTCTTAAACTGTATAGAAGTGGCTTTAATTCTACATGACAAAGTAAAAAGCTTTCTAAATAGTTACCGCACTAGAAACTTCTCCAACAGTTACTCCTCATAGATCATATGTGTGTATG